ACCAGTTGCTATGACGTGCACTGACCACCAGGGGGCAGACGCTCCGACTGGTAGGTGAGCTTGCTGCTGATGTCCCGCCAATTAAGGACTGAGCGAGACGGGCCGGACACGCCCTGGAGCCCTCCCGCGGTCCCTCCCCAGCTGGCCAACGTCCTTCATCCTGGACTGACTTGCTTGGTGTGCTCAACGGGAAATATTTTGCTTTCGGGGAACGAGGAAAACAGGTTTATTCTCGTGACGCTTACTCACTGGTGCAGCGATTCAGGGTCTGGTGAGTTCATGTTAAGAAAAAATACTAATTTTTATTAAAATGCTCTATTGTTTTATGTCCACGACGACACATGGATTTCAGCCCTTTTTCCTCGGCGTGTCTCTATTGCAATAAACCTATGTTTCTGGCTCTGACCGGTGTGGCTCAGTGGCTAGAGCGTTGGCCTGCGGATCAAGGGTCCCGGGTTCGATTCCGGTCAAGGGCACGTACCTGGGTTGCGGGCACATCCCCAGTAGGGGGCGTGCAGGAGGCAGCTGATCGACGTTTCTCTCTCATCGATGTTTCTAACTCTCTATCCCTCTCCCTTCCTCTCTGTAAAAAATCAATAAAATATATATTTTAAAAAACCCTATGTTTCTCTGAAAAATGGAAGCATGTCACTTACTGTAGGTCTCGGATGTGCAGAAAGTACTGGACGTTTTCCGGGGCGGCCGGACCCCGGGCCCACGTGCAGTTCATGAAATCCGCCTTGTAGATGAGGCAGGAGACGTTGTGCGCTGCTGTGCCCTGCCCACCTGGGCAGAGACAAGGAACGATTTTTTTTTAAAAAAAAGGAAGAGGTGAGGTATTTCAGTGAAGATGCGGAGAAAAGGGAACCTTCGTGAACGGCTCATGAAAGTGCGAAATTGTGTGGTCACCATAGAGAACAAGGCTGTTCCTCAAAATCTTCAAAATGGAACTGGCCTATGGTTTGGCCATTTCACTTCTGGGAACATAGATTCAAAGGAAATGAAATCTGGGACTTTTTAACATTTTCTTATGAAAAAAAAAATTTTTTTTTTTTTTGGTTTGTTGGGGTTAAGCCTCACCCGAGGATATTTTTTCCATTGATTAAAATATATATATATATATGTATATGTATATGTATATGTAAGAAAGGGAGAGACAGAAACATCAATGATGAGAGAATCATTGATCGGCTGCCTCCTGCACTTCCCCCACTGGGGACCGAGCCCACAACCAGGGCATGTGCTCTCAACTAGAATCGAACCCGGGACCCTTCAGTCCTCAGGCTGATGCTCTATCCACTGAGCCAAACTGGCCAAAGTGGTCATTTTTTTAAAATGATGAAAGGTGAATTTTATTTAAAAATATCATACTAGAAAATTTCTGAATTGAATTAAGTAGACATAAAATTTAGGATATATAAAGGACTTGAACAACATAGTTAACATTCTAGAAGGAACAAGAGAGAGAAAGAGGGAGAGGAGAAGGAAAAGAGAAAGAAGAGATAGAGATAAGGGACATAGGGGGAAGGGAAGAAGGGTTGAAGAAAGGAAAAAAAGAAGGAAGGGGAGAAATTAACTTTTATTCCGGAAAAGAATCCAGACTATGCATTATTTTTGTTTGACTATGAGCTATTTACCAAAATTGATGCTGTACTAGGCCACAAAGAAACTCTCAATAGAAATACAAAAGCTCAAACCCTCCAAGTCACAGTCTCTGACTGCAGTGTCATGAAGCTGGATATTAAAATCAAAGGTTTAACAAAAATAAGTAAAGGACAATCAAAACTCTTGGGCATTTAGCAAATACTGATTTACACAACATTTTGTTTAAAGAGAAAGTTAGAACTGACCTTGCAAAGTCCTTAGAAAGGGGGAAGTATGAGAATACTACATAGAACCCGAAAAATAAAAGTCACAAAGAATGTCAGGTTTGGTAACAAAAAAATGAAACATTTCACATAGAAAACGTCACTGATTGGTTAAAAATGGAGGAGAACAGTCCATTTCATAATAGTTTAGCACCCATAACACACAAAGAGAACCTGTAAATTAAAGATAAGAAACAGACAGGCCAATAGAGAAATGGGTAAAGGACAGAAACTGGAAACTCACCCAGGAAGAAACAGAAATGGCCAATAAATAGTAACAGATATTCTCGCTGGTGATGAGAAAAGGCATATCACAACAAAATGCAGTTGTTGTCCATTAGTGTGGAAAAAAATTTCTAAATCTGCTAATAACCAGTTTGGCTAGGATGTGGGGAAAGAAGCATTTTTATACTTTTTGGCTCGTGTTTAAAATGGTTCAACTGGTTGCCAAAGGGAAGGGGGTGGGTGCTATTATCCATACCATATTATAAATCGAAGACAAAATGAGCTCTCACCCATATGTATCATATAAAAAGGTCTCACTGCCTAGTTATGTTTAAGTAACATAGTTTATGTTTGTCAATTCCGAGTCCTCCTTCTCTCCTCTCTCATTAGCACTCTTTCTCTATTTTTTCAAGTAAAAAATCGACAATGTCCAGTGAAGAGGAGACCTTTTGGCCAGTAGATTCTTTATCAGGGGCCAAATAAAAGCCAGGTAAAAGCAGACCTTCAATGGGAAGTTCTCATACTTTTTATGAACTTGGTCTTAGACTGCTTTCCACAACCTGAGCTACTCTTTATCCCTCCCCAGTTACTCATGTCTTTTTATTATCTCACCCTTAAGATTGCACACTTGGTACCTCTTCCCAGGCTACAATCTCAGTTCCTCTCCTTGGTGGTAATTGATGTTGTCTCATGCATGCTACCTTGGGTCACTTAGAGAAGGAGGCGGAAGAGGGAGGAGGAATGAGAGTGATGATGATAACAGGGCTATGTCTCTGCACCAGGCATTGTGCTGAGAGCTTCACATATGTGATAGCTACAAATCCGCACAACCCTGGGAGGAAAGTGCTGCTACTGTCACCATCATCGACATCAACAAATGAAGCTTGGGAAGGTTAAGTCACACACTGAAGACCAGACAGCTAAAAGGCAACAGAACTGGGATCCCCTGTGAACCTGGGGCCCATGTGCTTAACCACTGGCATGGTACCTCCATGAATACCTTTCTGCTTTGGTCTGGCCCCTAACATCTCCTCTTCTGGGCCCAATAGTCTTGTAGGACCCAGGCAGGCAGGAACCGTCCAGGTGCAGTTGTGCATGAACGTACGATGAGTGCCCAGCCCAGAGTCAGCTTCTGTTTGCTTAGAAATGATCATGACAAGAAAGCAAAGGTCAACGAAAGGTAGATAAATGCTCTAAGCTACAAACGGCAGCAGACATGCCTATGAGCACTAAGAACTTGGTATGTTCTCACAGGTTTTCTGAGATCCCAGCTCTAACACGCGTGCACATTACTTGAGTCCAGTACAGAAAGACTAAAGAAGAAAAGGAGCCCAGCTGGTGGGGCTCAGAGGTTGAGCGTTGCCCTATGAACTAGGAGGTCATGGTTCCATTCTTGGTCAGGGCACATGCATGGGTTGTGGGCTCCATCCCCAGTAGGGGCTGTGCAGGAGGCAGCCAATCAGTGATTGTCTCTCATCATTGATGTTTCTCTCTCTCTTTCCCTCTCCCT